ATGGAGGCTTCACAATGTATTCATTCGATTGGTTGCAATTGAATTTTGTGGATCTCATTAAATGCCAAGGCTTTTAAATAAATTCTTATTTCATTATTAAATATGAATAATTTAACTTGAGCTGAAGTATTTTCTCTTGTATATTTATTGTAGATATACAGAGCTATAATAACTTTTTCAGCTATTATAATTTTTCAGTTTAAGCTTGATGTAACAGAATCATGTGATCTGAAAAAGTGCAGCGTCTTTCGAAATGGTTTTATTTTAAGATTTCACGAATGCCACCACTCGAGGATTTATGCTCTGATAAGGAATGACGTGGCTACCGCATGGCGGAGATAAGCCGAGAATCAGATAATATTCCATTGTTTTGCCCGGAATGACCGTCCGATGTTAGCTTACCAAGTACTTAAGAACGAAGATTATAAGCGTATAAGGTCAGGCAGTATGCTCTCCTAGTATTATCTTCTCTTCTATTTATAAAACTTAATCTACACGCATTAAGCATTGTTATTTTGCATGACACTATATGCTACAATTTATTACATTGAAATTACGTTGGATATTCGTTCGCATTTCATCGAAACATTAATTAAGTATGTATTAGAACTTTAATTACATGCTGTGAAATGGACTAAAACAATTTTCTTCGCAACGGTTTAACTTCACTGCGTAGCGCATTATTCGTGATTGATGTAATTTTGTTGGCCTAAATATTTATAATATTGTCACGATAGGTGATTTCTTCGGGCAAAGTATACCTTTATTTCCATTCGATACGGGTAAGTGATTCGATTCTGCAACGTTTCGAGTTTTTCGAATCGATAAGCGTCAACATTTTTAAAGTCGTTTCGTGTAAAAGCGTTAGGATTAAGTCAAGGGTAGCTAATGTCGTGTTTTCTATAGTGCGTAATAAAATAATCATGGAATTAGAGAGTGTGTCAAGGGCTATACCAATATATGAGTATTAGCAATAAGGTCAAACTTTATAATTGTTGCCACACTCAACTTACATTCGAACATTATTTTTCATCTAAATTGTTAGATTATTTAGGTCGTTACATAAAGTCTATTTTTGCATAGAATCAATTTATAATAAAACCCATAATCATAAGTTTTTTGCTATGATAACCACAGTTTAAGTTGTAACGACGGAGGACATTGGATATAAAACAAAAGAAAATCTGATTTTCGAACTACCACAATCGTTTGAATAACAACAGCACGCATAAACAAACACTAAACAGATATTTTAATGAAAATGCGTACAAATTTATTGGCAATAAAACAACTTACAGCGCATTCACCTAGCCGCGAAAACATTAACCGGCCAAAAATTGTAGAACACGCTCTTGAGATTTAAAATCCACCAAAAAATGCCTCTCATATTTAGCTGTGTTATCCAGAAATTATCTCGCTTACGTTTTATCTCAAAGTGAGAGACAACTCAAGGCCTACAATAATCTTGGCAAAGTTAAACCAAACGTTAAAAGTATTCGACGATTGCAAATAACAAAATAATCAGCACAATCTAGTGGTTGATAATGTTCAGTATTGACACAAATGCTTTGGCAACGCGGTCTTTCTAAGGTACATAACCTTCACATTGACATATTAAACAGAAAACTGAATTTGTTATTAAACTAAATGTTTCTTAACAATTGTGAACATTTTTCAAACTGCTTCTCCTATTGATTGTATCAATACCAAAGTAATAAACCTCTATGAAAATAGTATTATGCGAGGCAACCGCACAAATAGGAATTGGCAAGAACGAATTAACGCTTTTAATAGCTACTCTACTACTGAGTTTATGGACCGATTTTCTCACGTGACCTTCCATTTGTGAACTAAAATACGTCATTGTGATTATTTTTGTCTATACACCGATTTAAATTGCATAATAACAATATAATTAGTTGTGGTTTGATAATTCATATCACGCAAACAAAGTTCAGTTAGGTCCAAGAACGCATCCCTGTGGTATCCCACAATTTCTTAGAAGTGACTCGGAGCTGTCCCAAGCATGCGATTCGCCTACGGATAAGAAATGACCTTTAGGGCGGGGGACTGGTCTGACCGCATGCTTCTGCACTTGGTCCCATGTGGAATTTATAACGCGCCGCCGAAGCCGGCTTGCCGTCATAAAAATTCTACGTTAAAATGTTTCTTTATGTTTTAATTGAAGTTCTCTTTGTAGCAAGTGTGTTTCAAATTGTTTTGACAATGTGAATTATGTACTTTATTTTATTTTTTTGTTATTTTCGGAATAAACATTCGGTACTTGGGTTTAATAGCCAAGCGCATGAAAATATTTGTGGTCTGTGGCATATGAAATTTGAGTTTTAAGAAGTAAATGATATTGCTGTTATTGTAAAATGCTTAGCTTAAGATATGCAAAACGCACATGTAAAACACATTTAGGTTATTTCTATAATTTAGGTACTATATTGGTAGATATGGAAATCAATTATCGACAAACTGTACTAGGTTTTAAGCTTGTAGCTTTATTTGGAATGTTTTCATGAGTCAATCTGTATTGTAATTATCGTAGCACTACTCGTACCACTATTAAGATCAATCTTAATAATAATAAATCTTCTAAATTACTTAAGTACAAATACTATGATTTTTTTAAAGCATTTGTAGTAGTGAAGGATAAGTTCATAACTAGGTTTACTTTGAACAACTTGGGTCGAAATGCTTCTAACGATGTGGGTATACATTAATCTCGTTAGCTCACAAGGTTTTCCACCTAGATTGCAAGGTTCGGCAATATAATTATGACTTGGTTTAAGGTGATTATAGTGTTTTAGGTTTTAAAACAAAATAATTATAGACGATTTTGAAAACTGATTTATGGTAGCGTTAGTATGTTATTTACTGTCAAAGTAACGCCAAAAATAAAAATAAAGACCTTTTTTTAACCAGAAGTTTATAATCCAAAACTGTTTTACATTTAAAAAATTAAAAAGCCTTGGTATAAAAGAAAGTTATCGTTGTAGTAAAGTCACCAAAGAACAATATAATAGAACCGATAAATTTAATTCATAGACATCTCTTGTTGTACATGAAACTGCTATAAAACTGTCTTAATAACATGTTAGCTATGAATACCATGAATAATTCGCGTGGAAAGTTGAGCACTGACGTCAGCCTGATCATATATGTTTGTGATGTATGAATATGTTAGAAGGACATTGAGCTTAAGATAATCACGTTTTTTGCTTAGATACAAGCTCATATACATACAGCTGTAAACATAGGCACGAATAGCACGTGCCCAAAATATTTAGGAACGTTTTTTGAAAATGCTGTACTTTTAGGGGAAACTAAACTAAAAATGGCGATTACGACATCTTTTCCAAGAATGGAGAGAAAGAAGATTTGATAACTGAAACCAGAGAAACGAAAGTCGTAAATGAGATAATGCTACAAAGATTAATAAAATAAATACATTCTATATATAAGTCTATCTTCATCAAACGCCTCTTATGAAACATTGAAAGTAATAAGAAAGTCGATATCCCTGTATGTAATTATAGATGCATCTAAATCCAATGATTTGTAATAAAACTTCATACATCTAACGTTACTAATTACACACTTTCGCCGCTTTTCACTGCCAAGAGATTGGAGCAAAAATGCAATCTGTTATTAAAATGAATGATCGCTGTTTCCTTCAGAACATGAACAACTTACTGCTCTTTTTCATATAGATATGCTTGCTATGGTACTTGTATTATTGTATAGTGATTTGTTTTTGTATGAGACAATTTTGTTTAAAAGTTATAATTGATTTACACACTTTGATATTTACACTAAGTATAGTTTTGTATTCTGGCTATTTCCCAAGTAGGTTAGGGTTAACATTGAGTTGATCACGTTTTCTTGCTGAATATTAAAAAATGTTGAACTAAATTAATTTCTATTCTCGTAAACAGAAAGCGTGATTTGTAATTTATTGAACATAGATACAATACATCAAGTTAAAAACGTGTGTTTTGTAGTTGTGGACTAATTGGAACCATTTTCATTCTAATTTTATTCTGACATGAATATTTATGTTTACAAATATTTGTTTCATGCGACAACTTTCGGTCCGATCCAGTTTATTGATCTCTCTTTGTTTTTGTGTGGGAATCACAAAATGTTCACATTATTATTTACTTTAAGTTGAATCAAGCGTAGACCATTGTGTTTAAAATGATTTGATTTGATTTGACATTAAAATAATTAGGTATTAGATTCCTTAACATTTTTTTAACTCTACGATAACCCAACAATGAGTTACTTAACACCGTGTGTTTGTTTTTGCGCAACAATAAGTCGTTTAATTGCAATCTTTGCCCTCTTTAAGTCGCAAAATGTCGAGTAATTCTGCGACCGACAACAATGTTTGCCTAACAGTAACAGTGTAAGACGGACGTCAACAGAAAGTTAACACTTCCTGGCTTATCGACAGTGACGGACAGTTAATGTGTTAGTTAGGAAGAACAAATTTGATATTGAACTTGCTGCATAATGCAAGTGAGTCGACATGACCACAAAAACAGTGTGTTCAAACGAAGTCATTTTTTACAAGACGACTGCCAGTAATCGCTTCAGCAGTCAGTCAACTGAGTAAACCAACACTGTTTTGGCTACGTTGAATCAACGTCAGATCTGATAGCGATCCAATTAAATTGAGGGAAACGAGTTACGAAACTTGCATACACGTAAATGTATGTTTTCAAAATTGTTCTGGTCAGTTAATGATCGAAATGACTTCGTCTGTACAGTTAAAAGTTACACACAAAGCAATCTGCCAAGCAGTTTAGCAAATCAAACAGCCTGTTTCATCACATCAAGTCACGACTGTGCCGAACTTAATGACACGACGACGTTTAGTTTCGAACTTTAAATGCACCAAAAGGTCTAGGCTACACGGCACTCACCATTGGTGCCAAAATAGTCATCCTTATCCATTAAGTCATGCTGGAAACCATAAGCAGGGAGCCATGCATGGGAGCCCGGTGGCTCGGGCCAATCCGAAATCCGGACCTCCTCCATTTGGACATCAACACAACACTGCACTCCACCGGCTAGTTCACACTGTTAACACAATCATGCATGGACTACCTCTTCGTTCGTCCATTAGGTGGTCATTTAGGGCGATAACGGTTGGTTGTGCGGCTGTGCACGGGCAGGTGTACTTGTCCTTTCACCGAGACGCGCGCGCGCGGCGGGGAACGGCGGCTGACTGGCGCGCGGCCGCCGTGGCGCGCGCGCTGCGATCTCTCCAACCGATATCTATTGCTGTAAAAAAACGCCAGACGCCATCGTGCCGCGCCTCAGCTGTGCTTTTGCCTGCTGCCCCTTGAACGGAAACTGAGTCGACAAACGCGAAACTAGATTTACGGGCTGGGAACCAGTTGTAAGCGTGCTTTGGCTCATTTGGTAACAATTAAGAGGACATTCTTGCGTCCAAACAGGCATTTCTGGAACCTGTTACGACAGATGCTCTCAGACTTACCTGTTCTTGTTTTTAGAAGATTCTGGTGCATACTCACTTTGACAGGATGCTACGATGCTGCAGTCTTCAAGTTTTCTAAAGACTTGACTTGGTTTTTATACTGCTGGACCCTAGTTATTTTGCGCGATCAGATCTGGTTGATAATTATAAGAGGTATTGTCTCAAGGTTTCTGAATGATTGACTACTGAATCGTGATGAGGACATTTTAGCCATGATTATGAATTAATAGATTGATTGATTCATCGCCATGGCTAAAAACTAAATTATTAATAACAATTACTACCTGGTAAACTGGTAGAGCTTTCGTCTCGGAATCGTAAATCCTCAAATCTCATTTGGTAGCATAAGAACTAGCACGACCATAATTCCAATAAATTTCAAATGAGGTTTATTAACACCTTTCTTCGTTACTGGTAAGAAACCATCTACATAACTGATAGCCTTACTGTTTGTTATAATAAATCTCCATAAATAATGTGGTAGTATGCTTACATCAGCATGTCATAACATCAAAGTAGCGACCTTTGACCGTTATTCAGACAGCGTACAGTTACTCCCAAACATTCTCTCCATTAACTGTATAAACTGTCGAATTAATCGTCATACAGATCACGATTACCTTACTTACGTTGAATTACCGCACTCCATAGCGAATACAGAGAAAGTATGGCGGGACACAGAAACTGGTGCGTGAGTCTATGCCCAAATTTGAAATTAGAACATTATGGAAAAAACGAAGTCCGAGATCACGTAGGAACGCTTTTACTTATAATAAGAATTTCATACTTTTCATTTTGCGATTCAGATTGATTGATAATATTTAGATATAACGAAATTCTATGAAATGGAGACATTTCAAATATTTATAGAAATGTCATTTAAGTATATTGATTTTCTGTCAATTGATTTATGCAGAAATGAAACTTAATCTCTCTCAGTCTTTTTATAAAACTTTCAACAATTGAAAGTTTATAAGACAAAACAAAAAGTTGCGAATAGTCTTCATTCTTCGATAAGTCTACGCTATGGAACATTACTTTCGTGCCGTTTAGAAATTCATTCACATACGTTACAATTCCCGATTGGACGCGTCGTCATTAGACGGACATTAAATGATTCTACAATCAAGTTGTGCGATTATAAAAAAAGCATTTCCATTGTAGGAGTTAATGTAAAAATAATGCGCTCTGCAGGTTTCTTGGCTTTATTTTCTTTTGTTGGCTGTAACGGCTCTTGGCCGATAAACTTACTGCTTGTGACCTTTCGTTAAAGTTCATGGTCCTAATTTTTTTGATTTGTTATCAGGAATTCTTGGTTAACATTATTTACTTCTTTGAAATCGTACCCAATCTCTAGGTCACATGAATGTGGTCACGCTATTAGTGATTGTCCTAAAATAAAATAACCTTTAAAATAAATATCCACGTCGGCTAGTATTTTGGTCTAGTAGTTGTTTTAAATCCATACACAGTTTACCTTTACATGAACTCAGTAATACAAGTACCTTATTCGTTTAGTGCTCATAAGTCATTGTAACTTATTTTTTTAATTACATACTTCCATATTACCACAAATCACGCGATCACGAAGACGTAACATTTATGTATACGCGGGGTCTTGTTTTAATAATGTTTAATATTATAGAGATTAAAATTAAACACTGATCAATGGAAGATCAATTCATAATACATGCTGTGAATACAAGTTAATATTACAATGAAGATGATGGGAGACTACAAAGGTGCAAACGATGAAATGACTACAAGAAATATCGTCTCGAGCCAAACGATGAACGTGTTGGCTTCAAACAGTAATATTAAAGGTTACTAGAACACGAGTGATGAAGTGAATAATTTGTGCAAAGTGTATTACGGCAAAATGTCAAATTAAAGCGAAGAAAATATAGTGACGCGACTTTTGCAAGGCGAGTTTCTGCTAGTTACGTTATGAGTAGTAAACCTAGAGATAGATAGAGCGTAATAAACGAAAGTAGAACTTATTTTTATTATTAGACTAACAATAATTTAGAGCTTATTTTAAAACAACAATACAGTCTGCGTTCAAAGAAAATATCAAAGCTTATTTCTCAACTTGGCTTAATTAGCCTCTCAGCTATTCTATGCACTCAAAATTTGTGTCCATTCTTCACAAGACCCATTACAATACATTACAAAACACGGAACTCGGTCGTTCCCATCTTACGTAACGTTTATAGCTCCTTATATTCCCTTTACGTAAAAATTTAAGAATATAAACAGCTTTCTGGCGTCTCGCCAACCTTATAATAAAGTATCATAGACTCGTTTTATCTGCTCATTATCAATACTACCCACACTCGGTGGTTTTTGTTCTTAAACTTTTTTGATTTGTAAAAAAGAATCGGTAATTTGCGAATTTTCTTTCCCGACACTCAATCATCACTTTTCTATGTTTCGTATGATATATCTTTTGTTTCTGCAGAATGTTTGTTTTGAATTAGAACTGGCCAAAATAGACTGTCAGGGTGTGATTGATCACCGCGAGAAATGTCCGCACGAAACTATTATTTGCTGCAATCTTTCGTTGATGACGTTCAAATTATACGTCAGTGACGTTATCTCGGCTAATATATATTTCGTTTTGTTTGTACACAAGACTTATAATTGCAGTTTTCTCACTTTATACCAATAAATTGTACTAAATATACAAAGAATCGTGACTTGAAATTCGTCGTTGAATAGGATCTTAAAGAAACACAACACTGAATGAAAGTTTAGCAAACTACTACTACGACATACCCAGACATGGTTCAGAAGCGAAACCATCAAACAAATAATAGTCTTATGTAACACAAGAATAAGGTAGAAATTGATAAATCCTTTGACGATGTATACGACCAGAGACTAGTTACAATGAAGCGTACTTACGTTCCCACACAATGTTTGGCTCTGGGCCAGAGATTGCAAGTCTTTGGTGGTTTGTTTTCAACCAATCTTTTATCTATTCAATAAACTGTTGTTGTACAGTGTACACACGGAATACTACGCGAATGCCTGGTTAAGTTAACGGTATTTCAATTCAAAGCATAAACTTTGTTCTGCATTAAGTGGAAGGAAGTTTTTAGTGGAAGTCTTGAATTCATTGCGACCCTTAATTGATCCTTGCTGTGCTTTTTATTAATTTTCGTAGATTTTATTATTTTAGGTAAAAAAGTAAAAAAAAAATTTGTCCAGCATAGTGATTGCTTTGTGGCTACAAAACGAAAGGAAACGGAAAGCCCACCACAACCTCTTAAAACTGCTGCAACTCTTATAAGCCAGGGTCTACAGTTGAGACATCCATGAAAACCAAAACACATGAATGGATCCCTCAACTAAATAAATCATTTAAGCAGAAGAAAAAAAGGAAACTAGGATATTGAATTTATGATAGGTACTATTTTTAATTCCAATGACTTTGCTATAGTTTGTCAATAGCATTTTACAGTAACTGTCACTCTTATTATAGTTGGTATATGTATGTTTTTTGTGAATTTCGGAAAGTTTTCATTATCTTTATTACCCATTTAATTTGAAGAAAACCCATTAAATACATATACCTATGTATATCCTTAATCTCCACTTTCACGTTTTGGTCCTCGGCTTAAAAGGTCATAAGTCTGTATAAGTCAACATAAGTTTGGTTGCCATGGGAACCAGCTTAACCTCTCTTGACAGCAAGCACGGGATACAACAGCCTCATAAATATGTAGTAACACCATGTCCCTTTTATTTGTTGTCATCTTGACTACATTATTGCCACGAACACAAACGTTTTCTCACAAGAATCGAGTAAATTGCAATCTCAGAGTATAACGTAGGCTTTGTCGTATAAATAGTATTTGTACGAGTAAGATTATGTCGTGGCGTTGTAAGTAGGTATTTGTTAGCTGGATAATAATTTTGTCGTTTTAGCATTAAGAGTCCATATATCTTTGTATTAAGACTCTTTTAGCAATGTCCTAAGCTTCACAGTAATATTCATTTGTTTACGATCTTTTGCTACACTTGCTTTTTTATATTATAAAATATACTGATGGATTACATGCTGTTAAGCAATCGGCGCCGTCCATGGATACCCGCAACACCAGAGGAATTGCACGTTACCGGCCTTTTGAAGATTAACAGATTGGGTAGAGAAGGGAAGATGGGCCTCCAGTTACCTCATGGTATCACTCCGGTCTAGTCAGCGCATTATTTTTAAAGTATGAAAAAGCATTAATTTGATTTAATTTATTTGAAGATAGATAGATTAACAATTTAGGTAATTACCATTTTAACTCATGTATTAAATCCTTTTTGACAGTTTGTAAGTATGCTTTCTCGCTTATAGTACTTATAATAATAGATATCTAATGTTTTCATACAGGCATTGTTCTGCTAGCAAATCGCGTAAACCCGCAAATGTGCAGCATTAAAGCTAAGCCTAGAAATGCTGTGGTCACAAATCACGCGGGAAAGTCAAACGCCCCTATTCTGATTTGGAATTTATCATAATAACAACGCGCCATCTTTAGGACTTTCTAATAACTGAACTTAATTAGAAAACTTTCTTCTCTCGGCCTGGAGACGGAGACGGAGGGAGTCTCAGACTCTTACTCAATACATACCATCCCGTTCCTTCTTCTGCTCCAGGTCAACGTCGCGGTACATTATTGCGGTTGACCCGCAACCCTAGCTAAATATCAACAATGTGGGGCTCTATCTATGGTGGTCTATGTATACTACACTGGCTATTTGAGGCGCGCGAAACGCAACGCGCCGTACTCTCGTGTTCTTCTTCAGAAAGGCAGGAATTAGCCTCGTGTAAGAAGAATGCAAGTCTCTTCT